GAATCCCCGTCCCACGAAACATGCTCGCCTTTTCAGCCATGGGGGAGTTATAATGTGACGGTCAATCCCACTATTTGTTGGTAAAAGAGTAGCACAAGAATTAGCGGTGGGTGGTGATGACTAGTCTTTCACTGCTAAATTAGGGACGACTAGCGCAGATAGCCCTCGTGTATCTTTGAGCGAAATTAAAAAACAAACAAACCACTCGTAAAATTTACACACAGTACGCGGTTTTGACTATGTTGTATTTGTTGAATAATGTTTAAGATATACACTACAATTCTAGGCGTAGCGGAAACCATGATTGAGTGGGAAAAGTACATGCAACGCTTATATGTACACTTATTTTTTATTGCTAAGCAACAACCAGTTAATGCCAGAAAGAATGAATATTTTAAATTATATTTTTGGACAGCTTCCAAAGGTAGAATTTATTAAATAAAAGAAAACAAAGTAACTATGAATCGTCATACATGTCGAGTTTGAGTCACGAAATACGCGAGTCGTGCACGAGTTCCGGATCCTTGAGGCGGAGGGTGGGGGTGAGCTTAAGTTGATCTGGTTGTTAAAAGCTTTGTCTGGATTCGATTTTGGACTTCTGTTTATTTCTACGGCTTCCAGGCTATTTATTTATTTGCTGTTAAAATATATTTATACCTGTTTACAAGCCTGTGTCAGCCTTTATTGGTTACCATGGTAATAATATATTAGATATTTGTGAAACGTACAATTGTCTTTGATTTCCTCACTTCTGTAATTATGGGATTTCACCAAGTACCAACAGTTTCAAATATTATTTAAATAACATGTAGAACCGCCATATATCTGTTATGTCTACTGTCAGTACCGACAATGGCCTTTCGTGTGTTACCAAGGTTCGTCCCGTCGTTTGGGACACGACAGCTATAGTTGAAAGTAAAGGATAATGTAATAATATGTCAACCACATTATATTTACTATATCCAGTGCTGACAAGGCCTGTCGTGCAGCACCAGGACTTATGCCGACTGGGATATGACATGTATAGTAGTGGTCGATATGTTATATATATATCATTAATTACTTGAACAACAACTATTTTAAGTTGGTGAATTGTAATTATTATCGGTTTTATTTAAGTCATTACCACTCACAATTAAATTTATTATTTTTATAAACATCACGTTATTGTTTCAATAAGTTAAAATAATAAGAACAACATTTAAAACTGAATAATCCTAAATAATTACGAGTAAGAAATGAACGTTAGGAAAATAGAGAAAAATATATTATGAGTGTAGATTTACATATCAGTCAGACTTTTCTATTCGTCAACGGTTAGCAGCATATACGTGTGGTTGCTTTGGGAGTTAACCAGCTGACCCAATCAACTCAGCGCACAGCCGATTGTGTAGTGTAAATGTAGAATCGTTCCCATCTTGTCTTGTGATTCAGTCTTTCGTCAAGAAGCTAACAGGCAACGAGGAAACTGGTACAGTATATTAATATTGAATTAAACTGTTGTCTGAAGGTTGGGGTGTGTCCAGTATTAATAATTTTTGTCTATTTGTTTGTTACTTTTATGACAGTAGATATAATTCGCTGTCAATTATCTGTCTTTGGTTTTATCTAATAGTAATAGGCGCCGGCAGGATCAGCTAGCCCTTAGTTTCGTAAAATATTATTCTAGTGATTATTAATATTAGAATAATATTAAGTTATTCATGTTTTCCTCCTCAAGTTAATGAGAAAAAAGGAGCATATTTATCGAGGGATGACAAAATACGTATGAATTTACGAAAATCACACGTAACCTTCTGAACATCAGTGTTCAAATCCTAAATGACCCACCCCTCCTCCCAGTCCCAGTGACTTTAGTCACCCGTGGTAGGCACAGTACAAATAATCCCTTGTGTAGCTTTGCTCTTAGCCTTAACAACAAATAGACCAAAATTGCAAATATGCCCATAAAAATAAAAGGGGAGAGCTCACAATGTTATCTAATTATTATAATTATATGTATTGTTTCATTTTCCAAATTATTTGTGAATTACTTTGAAATACATTAATAAAAAATTACAAAGCGATTATAAGTGTATTGGTTTTTATATCTTGCAAGAAGTGATACTGATAGTACTGGACTTTGTATTAACACTACAGAAGTACAGATAATCGTGAGGTATCGTTACATAAATGGTTTAATAACAATACAATTGTTATGTTCTATGTTTCACATTTATAAAAAAAACTCTGATAGTCTTGCTCTATCTGAAAACCAGCAGCATTTTTTGTTAACTTTAATTACAGTGTATATTGTATTTAAATATATTTATTTGGGTGTAAAAAAAAATGTAAGTTAAAATTTATACCTCTCAGGTGAAGAAATCGAACTTAAAATTAATTATCAGAAGCTTGAAATGTCTTTAAGTGACTGTTAATATTAAAGAAAACGTACACATTATATTTGTTTAAAAAACTTCTGCTTTAACAACATTATCAAAGATGATTGCATGAAGTAGGAGTTCTCTCGTGTAAGCGCCATCTGTGGCTAATATAATTTTATTCGTTTTTCTCTCTCTTATGGCTTCTTGTGCTGGTGTGTAGCCCCTCAGTGGCACAGCGACATGTCTGCAGATTTACAACGCTAGAAACCGGGTTTCGATACCCGTGGTTGGCAGAGCACAGATAGCCCATTATGTAGCTTTGTGCTTAACTTCAAACAACAGTTGGTGTGTATGTTATTTTTTATATTATCTATTA